AGCTGCCACCACCTTTTAAAAATAAAAGGCACACTTTTTTTTTGTTTGTTTTTGAGACAGGGTCTTACTCTGTCGCTGCTGGAGTGCAGTGGCACCATCTTGGCTCACTGCAGCCTCAAACTCCTGGCTCAAGTGATCCTCCTACCTCAGCCTCTCAAATAGCTGAGATACAGGCATGCACTACCACGCCTGGCTAATTTTTGTATTTTTTGTAGAGATAGGGTTTCATCATGTTGCCCAGGCTGGTCCTGAACTCCTGAGCTCAAGTGATCTACCTGCTTCAGCTTCCCAAAGTGTTGGGATTATAGGTTTGAGCCATTATATCAGTGAGATACAGAATATATATATATATATATTTCAAAGACAGGGTTTCACCATATTGATCAGGCTGGTCTTGAACTCCTGACCTCAGGTGATCCACCTGCCTCAGCCTCCCAAAGTGCTGGGATTACAGGCGTGAGCCACCACACCAGGCCAGAATATATTTATTTACCTATATTTTTTAAACATGGAAGGGCGAGCACGGCGGCTCACACCTGTAATCCCAGCACTTTGGGAGGCCAGAGTGGATCAGTCACCTGAGGTCAGAAGTTTGAGACCAGTTTGGCCAACATGGTAAAACCCTGTCTTTACTGAAAATACAAAATTAGCCAGGCATGGTGGCACGTACCTGTAATCCCATCTACTCCAGGAGACTAAGGCAGACTGACTTAAACCTGGGAAGCTGAGGCTTCAGTGAGCCAAGATGAGGCTTCCGTGAGCCAGCCTGGGTGACAGAGGAAAACTCCGTCTCAGAAAAATAAATAAATAAAATAAAAAATAAAACATGGCAGGGTAAACTAAAAACAATTAAAAGGGTTTCTATTCAGGGAAAGAGAAAAGCGTGGAGGGGACATGAACGGAAGATGTTTCTCTAACTGTACGTTTTTCCACAGCTTTGACTTTGGAACCATGCAAATGCTTTATAAATTTATGAAACAAATTAAATCAAACTTTAAAAATCAGTATATAAAAACAGATAACATAATGAAACAAGTTAATTTACCCATGTTTAAACTGTCCAGAGACTTTTTTTGCAGGGGGGAAGAGGGGTACAGAGAACATCTTGTTATGTTATCCTGGATGTAGTCTAGTGGCACAATCACAGCTCACTATGGCCCTTAACTCCTCGGCTCAAGCAATCCCCCCAAGTAGCTGAGACTACAGGCATGGGACACTGCGCCTGGCTGAACATTTTTTCAAGTGGGTTAAAAACCTCATATTTTGACTGTCATTTTATCTTAAGAACAAAAAACTGCGAGTAAATCATAAACTGGTTTTTTGTTTTTGTTTTTGTTTTTTTTTTTTGAGTTGGAGTTTCGCTGTTGTTACCCAGGCTGGAGTGCAATGGCGCGATCTCGGCTCACCGCAACCTCCGCCTCCTGGGTTCAGGCAATTCTCCTGCCTCAGCCTCCTGAGTAGCTGAGATTACAGGCACGCGCCACCATGCCCAGCTAATTTTTTGTATTTTTAGTAGAGACGGGGTTTCACCATGTTGACCAGGATGGTCTCGATCTCTTGACCCTGTGATCCACCTGCCTCGGCCTCCCAAAGTGCTGGGATTACAGGCGTGAGCCACCGTGCCCGGCCATAAACTGTTTTTTATAAATTATATTATTGGTAATAAAACTGGTATTATTTTGAAACAGGTAGTTTTTTTGTTTTTTTTATTTTCTTTGAGACGGAGTTTTGCTCTTGTTGCCCAGGCTGGAGTGCAATAGCATGATCTCGGCTCACTGCAACCTCTGCATCCCAAGTTCAAGTGATTCTCCTGCCTCAGCCTCCTGAGTAGCTGGGATTACAGGTGCTCGCCACCACGCTTGGTTAATTTTGTATTTTTAGTAGAGACGAGGTTTCTCCATGTTGGTTGGGCTGGTCTCAAACTCCCAACCTCAGGTGATCCGCCTGCCTCTGCCTCCCAAAGTGTTGGGATTACAGGCTCACATGAGATACCACACATGGCCCAACAGGTAGACTTTTAAAATTTGAAAAAAAATTTTTTTTTTGGTCTTTTTGTTTTTTTCCTTTTTGTGGAGAACGGGGTCTCGCTATATTGCCCAGGCAGTTCTCGAACTCCTGGGCTCAAGCTATCCTCCCGCCTCTGCCTCCCTAAGAGCTGGGATTACAGGCGTGAGCCACAGCGCCAGGCAAATTTGAAATTTTTAATTAAAAATCAATAAAAGCAAGGTCAGTCACAGTGGCTCATGCCTGTAATCCCAGCACTTTGGGAGGTCGAGTTGGATGGATCACCTGAGGTCAGGAGTTCGAGACCAGCCTGACCAATATGGTGAAACCCAGTCTCTACTAACAAGACAAAAAACTAGCCAGGCATAGTGACACGTGCCTGTAGTCCCAGCTACTCAGGATGCTGAGGTGGGAGAATTGTTTCAATCCAGGAGGTAGAGGTTGCAGTGAGCTGAGATTGCACCAATGCACTCCAGCCTGGACAACAGAGTGAGACTGTATCAAAAAATAAATGACAAATAAAAATAAATAAAAACAACAACATCACATTTTAAAAAATATAGCTTGTGAGACCAGGGAATTACTAGTGGACTGCTTAGAAAAAAAAAAAGATAAAGCAGGTGTTGTGTCTCCAACCTAGTACAAGTATTTTCACTCTTAAGTCCCTTTGTTCACTCAATTACACATACACTCACACACGTATACAGAAGCAGGGTTTTGTCTAATTATACATAATCTGCCATTATGGGAGATGCAGAATAGCCAAGGGTAACAGAAAGCAGAGGTGAAGCTAAGCACCCAGAACCAGACTTCACTTTCTTTCATTTTAATGGAAGGATGCAAAGAACTTCCTAACCACATAGGCCACAGGGCAACCAAAGGACTCTTTTTCATCTCTAAGCTGATATGTCTTCCGGTGTCCCCCAGGACAGAAAGAGATAGTATGGGATCCTGTTGCGATTTGTGTATCACTTACAGTCAAGGTTTCTTGGGACAGCTATTCTAAAACTTGTTCAGGCCAGGCGCGGTGGCTCAAGCCTGTAATCCCAGCACTTTGGGAGGCCGAGGCGGGTGGATCACAAGGTCAAGAGATCGAGACCATCTTGGTCAACATGGTGAAACCCCGTCTCTACTAAAAATACAAAAAAAATAGCTGGGCATGGTGGCGCGTGCCTGTAATCCCAGCTACTCAGGAGGCTGAGGCAGGAGAATTGCCTGAACCCAGGAGGCGGAGGTTGCGGTGAGCCGAGATCTCGCCATTGCACTCCAGCCTGGGTAACAAGAGCGAAACTCCGTCTCAAAAAAAAAATAAAAAAATAAAAAAATAAAGCTTGTTCAGGTTGCAGAACAATCTCTTTGCAGAAAGCTATAATCATTTTTTAAAAATATGAACAATGATATATGTAAGCCCCCTTCATAAACTATTTTTCTTAGAGAAAAATTCCTATATGTATGCAATACATAAAGTTATGATGTGTGTCCACAAAAACACAAATCATCAAACTAAGTGTAATTGACTATTTCTGGGCTTTTTTCAGCAATACTCATTTATGGTTCATTTGTTTTGTGGTCCCCTTGAGTTTCCCTGGAATCCAATAGTAGTATGTGCCAAAAAGTCCTATATAAACCTATGGGAGAAAATGAAAATAATCAGCTACTTTCTTTCTTTCTTTCTTTCTTTCTTTCTTTCTTTCTTTCTTTCTTTCTTTCTTTTTTTTTTGTTTTGAGATGGAGTTTCGCTCTTGTTACCCAGGCTGGAGTGCAATGGCGCGATCTCGGCTCACCGCAACCTCCGCCTCCTGGGTTCAGGCAATTCTCCTGCCTCAGCCTCCTGAGTAGCTGGGATTACAGGCATATACCACCATGCCCAGCTACTTTTTTGTATTTTTAGTAGAGACGGGGTTTCACCATGTTGACCAGGATGGTCTCGATCTCTTGACCTTGTGATCCACCCGCCTCGGCCTCCCAAAGTGCTGGGATTACAGGCTTGAGCCACCGCGCCCGGCCTTCTTTCTTTCTTTTGGACTAAATCACAAGAAAAAAGCTGCTTCCCAAGAGTTTGAGACCAGGCTGGCCAACATGGTGAAACCCCATCTCTACTAAAAATAAAAAAAATTAACCAGGCATGGTGGCAGGTACCTGTAATCCCAGCTACTCGAGAGGCTGAGGCAGGAAAATAATTTGAACTCGGGAGGCAGAGGTTGTAGCGAGCTGAGATCGCACCATTGCACTCCAGCCTGGATGACAAGAGTGAAACTCTGTTTCAAAAAAGAAAAAAGCTACTTCCTTCTACCTTCAGAATTATCACCATTATTCAGTTTTAGCTGTAGACCAACTCAATCTGGTTCTTGGAAGTTAAGTGTTACCCAAGAGCACAGCCTGAAAACCCATCCTGATCTGTAAGGCTAAGACACGCAGGTAAACAGGCAAACCTAACCACTGTGCTCAAATACAGCTGAGGCTGGAAAGTTCTCCTGGCTGCATGGGAGAAGTGGAATGGGAAGACGAAGGAAAGAGAGAACCAAGGCTGAGAATGAGAGTCTAGACTCTAATGATAATATTGGTATGCAATAATGTATAACTGCCAGAACACAACTGGCCACAGAACTGCATGCACATTTTATCTTTGCAGAATCTTTCAAGTAGCTTTGGTTAACACAGTGTACAGATGACCAGGGCAGTCTGATTCCAAGGCCATTGCTGCTTTTCTTTACTAAAAAAAAAAATATATATATATATATATATATATACATATATATATATAAAATTCAAATACAAATTGCTAGATATTTTAAAACTGAGTATTTGATATTAATACTACAATTATGCTCTTTTCAATTCTGTCTGTTACCAAACTCCCATCTTGTAACCTATTTTGTCTGATGGCTCTTGAAATGACAAAAGCATTGGTTGGCTGTTGACCTTATACTGCCTGAGCATGTAACATGAACAACTCTTTGATGTCTTCTTTAAGTTAATGTTAATATTTAAAATACCTTGGAAACTATTTCCTTCCTTTGCATGCTTGGGTACAAGGTAAAACGGCTTTTGTCTTAGCTCCTTCCTGACTTTTGCTGAAAGCCAGTCTTTGATGGGCAGACCTTCCTGGGTGCTAGCAGGCCAGCTACTTTTTGATTCCAAAGCCAGGATTATATCCACAGATATTTCTTTTCTAATAAGAAGGGTTACAGCAGGGCTCCCTCTTCTTTTCCTCTCCATGATGACATCTGTATCTGCTTGAACATATAAAAGAGAAGAAAGTATTTATTAATCCAACTTTCTCTGAAAATACAGGGGAAACAATGCAGCTATAATTGAAGATCTCTGGTGCGCTAAGCATAGAGTAAACAATAGTGGTAAAACAGAAACTGGCTCTAAAAAGCTACGTGTTTTACTAATTTAACCAATATTGGCCAGGTGTGATGGCTCACGCCTGTAATCCCAGCACTTTGGGAGGCCGAGGTGAGTGGTTAACTTGAGGACAGGACTTCGAGACCAGCCTGGCCAACATGTTGAAACCCCATCTCTACTAAAAACACAAAAATTAGCTGGGCATGGTGGTGAATGCCTGTAATCCCTGCTACTTGGGAGGACGAGGCATGAGAATTGATTGAACCCACGAGGTGGAGGTTGCAGTGAGCCGAGATCACATCACTGTGCTCCAGACTGAGCAACAAAGTAAGACTCTCCCTAAAAAACCAAAAAACAAAACAAAACAAAACAGTATTTCTTGATAGCTCCCATGGGAGGCATTGTCAGACTGTGTGTGGCATATATGATGGGGGGGTCTCTGTAGATTTTGAGGTTTGAGGGTACTCTGATTAAATTTTCATTACAAATTATAGATGGCAATGTGGAGGGAAGCCTAGAGAAGAGGCTAGGTGGGCCAGAGGGAAGAGACAGGCAGCAAAAAGACCACAGCAACAGGCCAGCACAGAGCCATGGAGCATCAAGACACAGGCGGAAGCAATGAGAGCAACTAAAGAGGTTCAAACCAACATAACTGGTCAGGGGTTGAGTCCACGATGTGAGGAGGAAAGTAAGAGCCTTGGGATGCCATCCCAGGATCTTGGCCTAGGAAACGGATGATGTTGGTTCCATTCCCCAAAACAGAATAAGCAGGAAGAAGAAAGATTGGGCCAAGTTGAACTTCATGAGACACAATGAGGTCTAGGTGCCTGTGGGACACTCAAGTGGAGATGGCTACCAGGTAGGTGGCCATGGTCAGAAATTCAGACAGTTTTAGGAGTTGGGGGTGTATGAGCAGTAAAGACCACTACTCTCAGATAAGACTGCCAAAGTGAGGAAGTAGAGCACAGCAGAGAAATTGCTAGAAAAATCTGCAAACCAGGCCAGGTGCGGTGACTCAAGCCTATAATCCCAGCACTTTGGGAGGCCAAGGCAGGTGGATCACGAGGTCAAGAGATCGAGACCATCCTGGCCAACATGGTGAAACCCCATCTCTACTAAAAATACAAAAAATTAGCCGGGCATGGTGGCACATGCCTGTAGTCCCAGCTACTTGGGTGGCTGAGGCAGGAGAATCGCTTGAACCCAGGAGGCTGAGGTTGCGGTGAGCCAAGATTACACCATTGCACTCCAGCCTGGGCAACAAGAGCAAAACTCCGCCTCAAAAAAAAAAAAAAAGAAAAAAAAAGAAAAAGAAAAATCTGCAAACCTGGCCACCTCTTACCCAAACCTGGCCGCCTCTCCTGTTACCAATGAGGAAGTAAGTGTCCATCTACCTTTCTTTTTATGAGACAAAGTCTCACTCTGTTGCCCAGGTTGGATGGAGTGCAATGGCGTGATCTTGGCTCACTGAAACCTTCACCTCCCAGGTTCAAGTGACTCTCCTGCCTCAGCCTCCTGAGTAGATGGGATTACAGGTCTGCGCTACTTTGCCTGGCTAATTTTCTATTTTTAGTAGAGATGGAGTTTCACTATATTGGCCAGGCTGGTCTCGAACTCGTGAGCTCAAATAATCTGCCCGCCTTGGCCTCCCAAAGTGCTGGGATTACAGGCGTGAGCCACTGCGTCTGGTCCTCTATCTACCTTACAAAGGCCGCCTCTGCACATGGTCTCTGAACCCTTTCCTTCTCAACTTCTCAAGTACCTTGTTCTTCAACTATTCCTTCTCCTGCACCAGCCATCTCTCCCTCCCTGCTGGATCATTCTGAAATTCACAGAAAAGGTTACAGTGTATACCTCTCCTTTCACCCCACATCTGATGCCTTTCCATACTCACCCATCTTTCTGCTTCCTTCCAACCCAAACTTTTTTTTTTTTTTTTTGAGTCAGGGTCCCACTCTGTCACCCAGGCTGGAGTGTAGTAGCATGCACATGGCTCACTGCCGCCTCAGCCTCCTAGGCTCAAATGATCCTCTTGCTTCAGCATCATATGTAGCCAGGAATACAGGCGCATGACACCATCTCTGGCTAATTTTTAAAATATTTTTGTAGAGATGGACTCTCCCTTTGTTGCCCAGGCTGGTCTTGAACTCCTGGGCTTAAGCGATTCTTCTGCCTCGGCCTCTCAAAGTGCTGAGACACCACACTCAGCCCAGACAGAACTTTCTAGAGCAGCCTACACATGCTGTCTCCACTGCAACAAAACACTTGTATTCTCCTTTTGCTCATTCTCTGCTTCACCAACTCTAATAGAATTCTCTTCTTACCACTCTACTTAACATTGCAAATTCCCATATCCATCTCCCACATTCCTGATCCCTCTCTTTGCTATACTTTTTCACAACAGCACTTACTACTATCTACTACACAAGATAATCAGCTGGGCGCGGTGGCTCTTGCCTGTAATACCAACACTTTGGGAGGACAAGATGGGTGGACCACTTGAGGCCAGGAGTTTGAGACCAGCTTGGCCAACATGGTGAAACCCCACCTCTTTAAAAAAAAAAAAAAAGATAAACATAATTTCCATTTGTTATTAATTGTATTTCTGTGGTTGCAAAAATTATAAAGTACAGAAGGGTAGAGGTCTTCATCTATTTGTTCACTAATTAATCCTAAATAACCAGAATACCTGCACATTAGATAATCAATGATTATTTATTAAATTGATGGATAAATGAATCTAAACTATCTGCCTAGGTATTTCATCTATTCCCAATGCCACCTATATGATGACAACTCCCAAATGTTCCTTGCAGCCCAAATGTATCCTTTGCACTCCAAACCTATATCCAGCCACATGACACATCCACTTTGATGTACCGCAGGAATCTATAAAGAAACATATCCAAAGCCAGTAACATAACTTAATTCATATCCCAAAATATGTTGTTCCTCAGTTCTCCCCATCTCAGAGAATGGCATAATCAATCCACCCAGATGCACCATCAGGAAACCTGGAAACTGTCTTAATTTAATCCTCTCTTATCCCCTACACTTAATCCAGATGCAAGTGCTGCTACAGCCTGGATCTGCCTGCTGCTGCAATCCCAGCACCCTATTCCCACCCCATCTAAGCTGCCACCATCTTTTAGCTGAACTATTACATCATTTTTCTTTCTAATTTTTCTATTTGCCTTCTTGTAAGAGCTATCCTTAAAAGCCAGAGTAAATATTTAAAAATTCAAAGCCAAGCATTATTCTCTGATGAAAACTTGGCTTCTCAATGATCAGATAATAAAATTTGGCCAGGCTCGGTGGCTCACGCCTGTAATCCCAGCACACTGAGAAGCCAAGGTGGGTGTATCACGAGGTCAGGAGTTCAAGACCAGCCTGGCCAAAATGGTAAAACCCCGTTTCTACTAAAAATACAAAAATTAGCTGGGTGTGGTAGTGGGCGCCTGTAATCCTAGCTACTCAGGAGGCTGAAGCAGCAGAATCCCTTGAACCTGGGAGGTGGAGGCTGCAGTGAGCTGAGATCATGCCACTGCACTCCAGCCTGGGCATCAGAGCAAGACTGTGTCTCAAAAATCAAATCAAATCTAATCTAAACTCCTTTTCAGGGTCTACAAGTCAGTACAGAATCTGGTCCCTGACTGCCTCTTCAGCTTCATTTCATGTCACTTCGCCTTTTCTGCAAAAGTCTCTTTTTGTTCCTAGATCTTGCCAAGCTCCTTTTCCTGCCTCAGGGCTTGGCTCCACTACCCCATTCTACCCCAATTGCTGTCACTTTTCCCAGTTTACTCTCTTCAGAGCACTCACTGCAATTTGTGTTTGTATATTATTACACTATTGGAGTACGAGCTTTAAAGAGGATCCCATCAATTTTATGCAGGCACGTATACCCAGTGGCACAAGCAGCAGACTAAGTGAAAAGCAGAGTGGTGTTTCTAGACAGAACAGTCATACCTACTAAGTGCCAATGTATACTCCTCTCCTGATATTTCTTGGCTTCTCTACTGCAGTTTTTTTTTTTTTTTCTTCTTCAGAGAGGTCAAGAAACATCAGGAGAGGAGTGTACATTGGCAATTAGTAGGTATGATTAAACTTTTAAGAGTCAAAAGGCAGGCTGGGCACAGTGGCTCACACCTGTAATTCCAGTACTTTGGAAGGTTGAGCCAGGCAGATCACCTGAGGTGAGGAGTTTAAGACCAGCCTGGCCAACATGGTGAAACTCTCTCTACTGAAAATACAAAATAGCTGAGCATGGTGGCACATGCCAGTAATCCCAGCTACTCTGGAGGCTGACACAGAAGAATTGCTTGAACCTGGGAGGCAGAGGTTGCAGTGAGACAGATCGCGCCATTGCACTCCAGCCTGGGTAATGGAAAACTCCATTTCAAAAAAAAAAAAAAAGAATCAAAAGGCAAAAATCTTACCTTGCATGTTTTTAATTTCTTCCTTAATTATTTTCCTAAACTTAGACAGCATCTTAGAAGCTGATAATATTTCATCTTCTAAAAATTGTCTCAGAGGATTTTCTTTCGGATTTCTTTTGAATTTCACAAAGTAATATGCACCAGTGTTGGCATATTCTTCTAGTTGAATTCTGGGGATTTCCAGTTTAAACATGACATCAAATTCATTAGGTGCAGAAATCTAAGAAACAGTACAAAAAATAGCACTGAAATGTTTGCTTATGAATATTTTCCAAGTGACTGGAACTTTTTTGTTTGTTTAAAGGGATTTTTCTATTCATTCATTCATTCATTCATTCATTTATTTTAAGATAGAGTTTCACTCTTGTTGCCCAGGCTGGAGTGCAACGGCACGATCTTGGCTCACTGCAACCTCCACTTCCAGGGTTCTCCTGATTCAGCCTCCTGAGTAGCTGGGATTACAGGCAAGTGCCACCATGCCTGGCCAATTTTTTTGTATTTTTAGTAGAGACAGGGTTTCTCCACGTTAGTCAGGCTGGTCTCAAACTCCCGACCTCAAGTGATCCACCTGCCTCAGCCTCCCAAAGTGCTGGGTTTACAGGCGTAAGCCACCGTGCCTGGACATTTTTTTCAATTTTCACTTAAAACTTTACTTTAAAAAGCAAGATGCATAATGTCAATATATATACCCTCTGGGAGTGGGACTACTGGAGCTGGCAGGAGGTGGAAGAGTATTATTGGTTTCATTTTGTAGGTTCTACACTCAATTAATATTTTTACAATGACCAAGCATTATTATTATTATTATTATTATTATTATTATTATTATTATTATTTTGAGATGGAGTTTCGCTCTTGTTACCCAGGCTGGAGTGCAATGGCGTGATCTCGGCTCACTGCAACCTCTGCCTCCTGGGTTCAGGCAATTCTCCTACCTCAGCCTCCTGAGTAGCTGGGATTACAGGCACGCACCACCATGCCCAGCTGATTTTTTGTATTTTTAGTAGAGACGGGGTTTCACCATGTTGACCAGGATGGTCTCGATCTCTTGACCTCGTGATCCGCCCACCTCAACCTCCCAAAGTGCTGGGATTACAGGCGTGAGCCACCGCGCCTGGCCTCAAGCATTATTTTTATAACTAAAAATGATCTTAGGCCAGGTGCAGTGGCTCACATCTATAATTAATTTTTGTGTATGACGTGATAGGGAATCAAGGTTCATGTTTTTCCTATACAGATATCCAATTGACTCAGCACCATTCATTGAAAAAAAAAAATCATCCTTTCTTCCATGAATTACACTGCTGAATATTTTGCATACTATATTAAATTATACGTGCAGGATTCTTTCTGAACTTTCTGTTCAAACGGCCTATTTTTCTATCACTGCGTCAATAACACCTGCTTAATTAGGCTAACTTTATGATAAGTCTTGCTCTTTGGTAGAGTAAATCTTCCAAACATTTTTTCCTTTACAATTTCCTTGACTATTTTAGGTCCATTGCACTTCCATATAAATCTTTTAATCAGGCCAGGAGCAATGGCTCACACCTGTAATCCCAGCACTTTTGGAGGCTGAGGTGGGCAGCTCACCTGAGGTTAGGAGTTCAAGACCAGCCTGGCCAAAATGGTGAAACCCTGTCTCTAATAAAAATACAAAAATTAGCCAGGTGTTGTGGCAGGCATCTGTAATTCTAGCCACTCGGGAGGCTGAGGCAGGAGAATCACTTGAACCTGGGAGACGGAGGTTGCAGTGAGCCAAGATCACACCACTTCACTCCAGCCTGGGCAAGAGTAAAACTGTCTCAAAAAAAAAAAAAAAAAAAAAATCTTTTAATCAGTTTGTCAGTTTAACTAAAAAAAAAAAACTGATGGGATTTAGACTAAGATCATATATATATATTTTTTTTTTTGAGACGGATTTTCGCTCTTGTTACCCAGGCTGGAGTGCAATGGCGCGATCTTGGCTCACCGCAACCTCCGCCTCCTAGGTTCAGGCGATTCTCCTGCCTCAGCCTCCTGAGTAGCTAGGATTACAGGCACGCGCTACCATGCCCAGCTAATTTTTTGTATTTTTAGTAGAGACGGGGTTTCACCATGTTGACCAGGATGGTCTCGATCTCTTGACCTCGTGATCCACCCATCTCGGCCTCCCAAGACTAAGATCATATTACATCTAGATCAATTTAAGAAAAAATGAACATGACATAGGTGTCAATTACTTAATTCCTCTTCAAATTTACTCAGTTATGTTTTTTTTTTTTTTTTTTTTTTTTTTTTTTTTTTTGAGACAGAGTTTCGCTCTTGTTACCCAGGCTGGAGTGCAATGGCGCAATCTCGGCTCACTGCAACCTCCGCCTCCTGGGTTCAAGCAATTCTCCTGCCTCAGCCTCCCGAGTAGCTGGGACTACAGGCACTCAGTACATGTACTCAGATTATGTACACCACCATGCCCAGCTAATTTTTGTATTTTTAGTAGAGACGGGGTTTCACCATGTTGACCAAGATGGTCTCGATCCCTTGTCCTCGTCATCCACCCTCCTGGGCCTCCCAAAGTGCTGGGATTATAGGCGTGAGCCACCATGCCCAGCCCAGTTATGTTTTTAAGTTTTGAATATCTTTAGTGAGATTCATTCTTGAATATTTGATTTTTAAATTGTTTTTCAAGTTTTCAATTTTTTTTTTTTTTCTGAGACAGAGTTTTGCTCTTGTCACTGAGGCTGGAGTGTAATGGAACAATCTCAGCTCATTGCAACCTCTGCCTCCTGGATTCAAGAAATGCTCCTTAGCCGGGCGCGGTGGCTCAAGCCTGTAATCCCAGCACTTTGGGAGGCTGAGGCGGGTGGATCACAAGGTCGAGAGATCGAGACCAACCTGGTCAACATGGTGAAACCCCGTCTCTACTAAAAATACAAAAAATTAGCTGGGCATGGTGGTGCGTGCCTGTAATCCCAGCTACTCAGGAGGCTGAGGCAGGAGAATTGCCTGAACCCAGGAGGCGGAGGTTGCGGTGAGCTGAGATCGCGCCATTGCACTCCAGACTGGGTAACAAGAGCAAAATTCCGTCTCAAAAAAAAAAAAAAAGAAATGCTCCTGCCTCAGCCTCTCGAGTAGCTAGGATTAGAGGCGTGTACTACCACGCCCAGCTAATTTCTGTATGCTTAGTAGAAACAGGGTTTCACAATGTTGGTCAGGCTGGTCTCACATTCCTGACCTCAAGTGATCTGCCCGCTTCCCAAAGTGTGGGAATTACAGGTGTGAGCCACTGTGCCTGGCCAAAATTTTCAAGTTTTCTTTTTTAGAGATGGGGTCTCCAGGTTGGAGTACAGTGGCTATTCACAGATAGATCATAGTACACTGCAGCCTCAAACTCCTGAAGTGATTCTGGTCTGAAGTGATTCTCACACCTCAGCCTCCCAAATAGCTGGGACTATCAGAATGCAACAATGCACCTGGTTTTTATATTTTTACTAATATCAAATTATTAATTTACTAATTATTTCCAGAAGTTTATATATAAAACTAATCAAGTCATCTACACATAACAATTTTATCTCTTTTTTTCTCATCTTATGGCTGCATCAGCTAGGAGAATCGCTTGAACCTGGGAGGCAGAAGGTGTTGCTCTGGTTAAAAAAAATAATAATAAAAAGAATGTTACTAGTTGGAATTAGAGAACAAAACATTCAGAAAACAGCCTCCATTCAGTACTACTTTGTTTTCCTTTTTTTTATATATAAAAAAAAGATGGGGTTTCACCATGTTGATCAGGCTGGTCTTGAACTCCTGGCCTCAGGTGATCTGCCTGCCTTGGCCTCCAAAGTGCTTGGATTACAAGCATGAGCCACCACGCCCAGCCGAGTACCACTTTGTTTTTAAAAATTATGTCAATAAAAAGAAATTCAGTGAAATTTGTTTCATCTAAAACTTTTTTTGAGATGAAGTCTTGCTCTGTCACCCAGGATGGAATGCAGTGATGTAATCTTGGCTCACTGTAACCTCCACATCAAAATAACAGTAAATAAAACAGAAGCAATATTTTCTACAATAGGCTTTTCTTACTTTACTAGGGACATCAATATGGGAGAAGAGGCCAGGCGCGGTGGCTCACAGCTATAATCCCAGCACTTAGCTGTTTTCTGAATGTTTTGTTCTCTAATTCTAACTAGAACATTCTTCTTATTTTTTTTTAAACCAGAATAACATATAATCCCAGTACTCAGGAGGCTGAAGCAGGAGACTCACTTGATTATTTCAGATGTAACAGCAATGTTAAAATTGACAAGTTTAATTTTTTTTTTTGACAGAAGTAAAATATTTATTTTATCTTAAAAATCTAGTCCCACAAAAAGGCCAACACTTTTTTCAGTTCATGGTCTTGACCCTTCAAAAAAGAAATCTTTCAACTGAGAGGTAAGTTGATAAAAGGAATTTCAGAGGTGCATTCAGATTTCTTACAGGCCAGTAATCCAAGCAACCCTGTACTTCTAGTTTACTGAGCTCCTTCTGCTAGTCATTCACAGTTCATGAAGGAGAAAAGAAAGAAGTTGTTTGCAGATAAAGAACTTTGGAAACCACCAGAGAGAAACCCAAGTCTGCCAGGAGCTGTGATGTGAATCGGTGAGCCCAGAGGGCCACCAGTTGATAGGAGTGCTGGCTCCCACAGCTTCATGCTGACAGCTCCCACCTTCCTGCCCCAACACTGTTCCATCCAGCTTCCAGCACCCCCCTTGGCTCTATGTTGCCTGACTGGCCTAGAATACATGGAAACCAGACAACTGGCCTAAGATGAACACTGCTGCCTGAAGACAGTGAGGAATGCCTTCAGAGACCACACTGAAGGAGCAGTTCTTTTTGCAAAGATGAGTTAGTTCGGGTCAGCACATTAGCAAAGCAAAACATTTAAACATTTTTAAAAGCTGCTTAATCCTTCCAATTTTCGTCCTGATTGTAAGCTCAAGCTATAGCCTCTAAATCAGCTGAAAATCAGGAAGGAACCCCTCCTCTGGAGGGCACATGGACTGAACGGGCTATAGCCAGTGTGGGTAAAGAAGGCCCCCAGCTGAACAGTGATTACATGACACCTGCAGACTCTGGGAAGGGCTGATCTGAATCCAAGCAGCAAACTCAACCCATTCTTTTGCTTTGGGGGCTTATGTTTAATATCCATCATTGCGATAGAAGAAGTCTCAGAGTCTCTCTCTTGTCAAGAGGACAGAC